AATATATTTAGTACCTGTCTGTGATCCTCATCTTAACCATCGACCAAGACTGGACAAGGTGCAAGACTGGTTTCTACCAAAAATTTTGAAATACCCAATTATGTTAAAGAAAAGAAAACATTTGACTTTCTCAGTTCAAGACTGGGGACAAATATACCATTCTGCCTATTGAGTGACGAGCAGAAGAATGTCTTGATTGGGAGCATGTTCCCCATTATTGTTGAAGCTGAAAGTATACTGATAAGAGAAGGAGACTCAGGAGCAGAGATGTACATCATTGAATATGGCGAATTTGAAGTGTCAGTCAATGGACAACTTACCAATAAGCTTCTGCCAGGAGCTGTTTTTGGAGAGCTTGCGCTGCTCCACGAAATACCGCGAACAGCTACGGTTAAGGCAATTTCCAAATCCAAGGTTTGGTCGGCAGAGCAAACATCTTTTTCCTGCATAAGAATCAGAGATCAGATTTATCGAAAAGCTGTTGCAAAAGAGGTCATTCAGAACTTTTTAACATCAGTTAAGACATTCTTAAGCACTGAGAGCATTGACAAACTTGTCAGCTTGTCTCAAAACAGGTACATCAAGGCAGGCACTTTTGTTAAGCTGGATGACAGAGAGATGATCATTCTTCTAAAAGAAGCCTTGATTGAGGATGAAACCAGGCGTAAAGTCTTTCCAAAAGACATATTAAACAAGGACTTCCATTCTATATCTGATGTTGAATTGCATATCCATCAATTTAGGGGATACCTTGAAGTAGGTTTAGGCTGTTCTTTTACTTATCTGAACTTTGATACAGTTGTTTTCAGTCTCAGAATGAGTTTATAAATCTCTTTACTGAGTTTTTATTCTGTAAAACCTACTAAAACAGTTTAATTTCACAAATAAAATTTTGTTAAATTCTAATTTTCTACGATGATTTGACTAAATTTAGGTTTTTAAAGAAAGAAAAATGAGAAATAACTCATTTAGACATTTCAAGCTTTTTATTGAATAACTTTTTGCACTTTAATTGAGAATTCATTTTTTGCAAAGTATTTTTCTGAGTTTGCCTCCTTTATGTGAGTTGTGCTTTTTATTGAAGATTGCCTAAGGAATGTGCCCACAGTTTTACAATTGAAGACTACTAATTGGCCTTTGAAGCATCTGATTTTTTTAACTTGACGTATATAAAATATAATTGACAAGAAAGGAGTGTCAAAATGAAAATGCGCGAGTAAAAAATGTTTTTGTATAAGAATAAGTTAGCTATTTTGCAACGAATAAAAATTTATATGATATCTTTCTAATTTTTAAAAGATTTAATAAATAATTTAGGCTAAGTTAGATTGCAACATTAGTTTTGTTGGTTTTTAGAACATAAATGTAAAAAATTACAATTAAAAATTTGTATATTAAAATGTATGCCTAGCACAAAACAAATAAAAAGATTGGTTATCAAAATTAAGAAGAAATACCTGGTAAAGATGCTTTTATGTTATTGGTACTTGCATAGAAAAAATTATCCAAATAGATTAAAGGGGTACTGATCTGATTGGTCTCCACCGATTGATGTGATTATTTATTTGCTATAAAATAAAAAGAAATCAACAGGGGAATGTGTGGAATATTTGGATATTCAGATACTGGAATGAAGAAATCCCGGAAGGAAATGTCTCAGTGCCTGATCAACGGGCTAGAGAAAATGGAATACAGGGACTATGATTCAGCTGGCCTCTGCCTGTTGGATGGAGATAAGGTTCTTAGCCACCTAAGGGCAGTTGGTAGAGTTTCAAATTTGGAATCAAAATCAAACAACGAAAACTATGATGAGGAAAATGAAGGAAAAGGCCTGATTGGTATTGCGCACACCAGATGCGCTACACATGGAAAGTCGACAGAAGAGAATGCACATCCTGTGCGAAGTGACAGAAACAACACATTCTTTGTTGTTCATAATGGCATTATCTCAAATTATTCAGATCTGAAAGCAATGCTTGTTTCAAATGGCTATAGTTTTGAAACACAGACCGACACAGAGGTTGCAAGCAAGCTGGCGCTGTACTACTACGATCAGGATGAATCCCCCAAAAAACACTTACGTGTAAAAAACTACGCCAAGTAC